ACCTCAAGGGCCTGGCCTTAATGTCGTATCAGTTTCTGAAATCATTATTCTGCCTATTACTTGCATCCTCTGGGATTAAAAATTAAACTTTCATTACTACCTTACGTGTCCTTCACTCACAGTTCTGATGGCTTAAATCACTTATGAAATATTAATGAGAGGAGCTGCTTTTTATTATGGAAAGACGCTTCTGTCACATTCATTGAGCGGTTCTATACAATTTAAAAGCTCCCTTAGACAAGAACAGACAAACTAATAGTTGATCTGTTCTTGCTATACGCATCCTTTTGTTACCACTCACATCACATTACCCATGAGCAATGTGTGCTTTTAGAAGTGGAAATTTTAAAGTCAAGAGAGAGACATAAGTCAAAAAATTAACACATAAATATGTGCTTCTTGCAAATTCAAAGCAGAAAATAACTGAGTCTTGAAAGTGCTAAAAAAAAAAAAAAGATGCTACATTGAATTTGGACAACACCATATTTGTTACCTTTTGTAGTTAAATTTTATTCTCAAATGAATGCTTACGGAGCTCTCTTACTGAACAAAAAGTAAGTCTTTCAAAACTACACTATACATGAAAGAGATACACAAGCAATGGTATCTTAGTCCTCATTTAAAAGGTATGTTTACATGGCACCAAAGCATCTAGAAACGCATAATGAGAAAATCTAAGATTCTTAACAGTACATCTAGGCACACTCAATAGAAAATTTCTATAATCATTCTCCCACATCTCTTCAGAGTTACTTCTTTACTCTTTATTCTTTTTAAAATTTTAGGTGGTCTGGTTTCAAGTTAATTGATGACATCAACTACCCTCCAAACTACCAATGTATCTGAAATACCATCATTCATTTTCTTTTTATTCCTTTGCTTGAACATTTCACTTTTTAGGTATAGCCTTTATGAAACCACCACTTTGGGGAGAAACATATTGAGTCATAATACTGCCATTTGAATTTGGCTCCTGAATCACTTTCTTCTACCACCCCCATGAAGAGAAGTGAAAATACTCAAAAATGAAACAAGAGAAGTTTCGTTCACAAATTTTCCCACTGGATAGAGAAGATTTCATGACAACGGCTTTAATCTAACTCACTGTGTCTGTCTAGACTCCCATGTAGGTACACCCAAGTCCTGCTCCACCAAGAACTAGAATTTGACTTTTGTGGGCCTCCATTTCTTCATTTGTAAAATTAAGCCTTTAGGTTAGATGACCTCTGAAGCCCTTGCTGATGTTGAAAATCTACAAATCAATTGGATGTGTTCCTTTAGGATGATCAAGGATATAATAGCAAAGCTTGCTCAAATGCTCAAATCACTGTACATTGCCCGTTCTTCTGAATGATAGAGTTCTTTTATTTTTTCCGTCAACAACTCTTGACTGAAATGTTGTCAAGACTTTTGGGGTATGTGTGCACATCAGAATGTAGAGACCTCAATGGCCAACCATGAAAGAGCTTCAGCTGCTGTCTCTGAACTGATAAGTTCAAGGCAGGCCCTGAAAATCTGGCCCAGGAAAACTCTGTATTTGTATGGTGTTTTTAATTCTTTAAGCTTCATATACCATTCATTTCCTCAATTTTATCCTCACAAAAGTTAGGGGACTAGGTAGAGCATCTTATAGAATTAGACCCTGAAGAACCCAGAGAAAGCACTGTCTAAAATTGCACAGCTATCTGGTGACTGAATTAAAATAAGAATTTAGATGAATTCACTCCAATCCCATTCTGACTCCAAAATATTCTGCCACTCTGTTTTACAAAGTGAAATCTTTCAATGCCAGTTCTATGCTCTTTCTTTTTCCTGATGACTGTTCAGAACAATTGAGAGAAATTCGTACAGCTCACTATCCATGGAAACTCAATTTGAGTGTACTGCAAAGCCAAAGAGAGGACAGAGCTTTGACGGCTCTCAGAGCTACCACAGAAAAGGATCTTATAGGAAGATATTCAGATTTTCTGGAAAATTAGAGGTATATCCTTGCCTATCCAAAAAAACCATTGTGACTGGCTCCACGGTTACAGTCCTGTGACCAGAGAGCCAGGCCTAGCATTGGGAACTTCAGGAGAACTTCCTTCCTAGTGAAGAGAAGACACCTCTAGCAGTCATAGTACTGCATGTCTGTTCTTAGTCGAAAACAATGCAAATGCCAGCTCCACCACTTGTTAAACATGGAACTGTGGCCAAAAAACCAAACCCATTGCCGTCAAGTCCATTCTGACTCATAGCGACCCTATAGGACAGGGTAGAGCTGCCCCATAGAGTTTCCCACGAGCAGCTGGTGGATTTGAACTGCCGACTTTTTGCTTAGCAGCTGTAGCTCTTAACCACTGCACCACCAGGGTTTCTGGAACCATGTCCAAGTCACTTAATTTCTCTGGGCCTGTTTCCTAATATTAAAATGGGAATAAAAATGGTTGTTTTGAGAATTCAACGAATTAACTCATGTAAGTCACTTACCACACCCCACAAGCAGTAAGCAAGTAGGAATTGTTAACTGCTCAATTTGTTAAACTATTTTAAAGTGCTTAGAACAGCACCTGGTGCATAGTAAGCACTCTCTAGTTGTGAGCTATTTTCACTGTTGTCAAAGTAAAACAACAGATGTTGGAAATTTAATTTTTATTTACACAAAAATTCAAAATTGCTCCAGAGTGTGAACTTCGATGCACTTTATGAGAGACTTTAGAAAAAAAATTGAATGAATATGCACATTCACCTTACCATCTGAGATAAGAATTCATGGATTAAAAATATATATATTATCAAATGTACTTCTTAGTTAAGTCCAGATACTATGCTGAAGTTCTGGTTCCTCTCTAAATGTGAAGAAAGGAAGAGGGCAGGAGGTTACCTTGGTTTTTCCTAGAAAAACGAATTGGGCTAAGTTACATGAGTAAACAAAATTGTAAATGCCTCTCTGAGTTTATGTGAAATGATTGTGCTCAACAAAAAAAATGGTTTGTTTCTCCTGCTCAACACTTTAATCTGTGGCTTGACCAATAATTATTAAGCAAAAGAAATACCAAGCCAGGCAAAAAAAAGCTGCCTGTTTTTGTTTCAGATACTTTATTTCAACCATTCCAAACCCCTAAATCCGTTGCCATCAAGTCGATTCCAACTTAAAGCGACTTTATAGGACAGAGTAGAACTGCCCCACAGGGTTTCCAAGGCTGTAGATCTTTATGGAAACACACTGCCACATCTTTCTCCCACAAAGTGGCTGGTGGGTTTGAACAGCTGACCTGTCAGTTAGCAGCTGAGTGCTTAACCACTGTGCCACTAGGGCTTCTTATTTCAACCATTATTCACATTTAAATCAAAGTTAAAGAGAGCAAACCAGATTAATGAAGGAAAAAACCTAAACTCAAAAACAAGAATTATTCAATCCTTTAAAGTCACTATTTGCCACTAACCAGCTGGGTGAGCTAGGCAAATCCCTTAACTTCTCTGGGTCCCCTCACGTGCAAAATTGTCCTAGATAACTTCTGAGATCTTTGGTCCTATTAGCCTGACTATGTTACATGCTCTTCAGCTTTCAGGGCTCGGTTCAGTTTAGTTAATTTAATGCCCTAATTTGGCATTGTTAAATTGCCTTTCTGTTCTCAGCTTTCATTTCTGTCTTTTGCCTATTCCCTTATGAATCTCCTATTTTACCATCAGTAGGTGATCTGTTTTAGGCAGATTCTTTCATACTCTGGAACAGTTGTTTCAAACTCTAGCCTGCATCAGAATCACCTGGAGACCCTGTTGAAATAGTTGCTGGGCTCAACCCCAGAGGTCTGAGATAGGGGAGAAAATTCACATTTTTAATAAGATCCCAGGTGATCTAGATGCTACTGGTCCAACAACCATTTGAGGAACACTGCTGTATACAATATAAAAGTGTTAATAAGCATCATGTAAGGGCAAGTGAGTAGTAAAAATTACCTCAATGTAACTCTGAGAACAGCCACTCTGGCCTCCCAGCTCCACATGCGTGACGTTAATTTTTATTTGTTCTCCCTCGGGTTGTTCTATTACATAGATGCATTGCCTGCTGTGAGTCAAAGGTCCAGACAAGTCAGGAAAGAGGAGCTCACCCTCTGGGTCTTTGTACATCCCTCCACAAAGCAGATCCGCTAAAGAGAACAGGGAAGACAAAGAGAAGGTCATGTGGATGACCATTCCTCTGGCTCCCAGCACTGGGTCCAATTTTTAAAAATTTACACACACATGCACACGCTCATATACCCTTTATAGGCTTATGACTCTAACCATAAGATTTTCAGTTTGACATGTGTTTGTAGGATGTACATGTGGCGTCTAGAGAAATACATATAGAGATACATACTCTAACTTCCAACCGATTATTCTCTTTCATAAATTGCTTTTTAAATACTTTTAGAATCTGCTTTCATTCCAAAGGATTGGAGGCAGTTTATAAAATATATGCAACAAAATAAAATAAAATATAACTAGATAAAAAAGATTAAAGGAAAAATAAACAGAATAGCAAGGTGTGGTCAGGAGAAAATTGATACGCGCAAAAAACAAAGGCTACACAAACTACAAAAGGCTGGCTATAGATTCAGCCTGAAGTAAATGGAGAAAGAGGACCAGTGAAAAGATGTTCATTGTTACTTTTTCTGGTACCGAGACAGAAGAGATGTTTTTCCTGTGAGTTCTCATCAAGTACACAATGATGAATGTCATAAACAAAACCCTCGGCAGCCCTAAAATCGAAAGCACAGTGATTTTCATTTGTTTCTTAAAAAGTGCAAACTGAAGGCATACTAGCTAATTTTCACTGGAAAGGAAACCACAGGATCCAGGACAATGTGACCCAGGAACTTAGGCTCTGTGCAGCTGGACTTGATCCAGGGATAACATATAAAATATCTCAAACAGACTGCATTTCCGCCAAGAACAACATCTCTCTCAACAAAACATCAAAGAATAGCTAGGGAACTGACATTGTGAGCAATTTAATTTTAGGTGACTCACACATCTCTATCGTGATGTGGGATCGGGGATATTATAGCATTAATAACATTGGCAAGATAAAGAAAAAACCTGTTTACCACAGGCAACTGAAGATGGCCATTACTTAAAGTCTATTTCATTAATTCTGCATTATATCTATGACGGATATATGATTTATAAGGACATGTTATTAATCTAAGAAAATAAGTCATCCCCGACACCATATTAAAATACGAAAGAGCTACAAGCACAGCATTATCCTTCAAATTCATATCGAGCTCCCAATTAGCAGGTTACTTACAAGGTGATGTGAAGTAGGTGATATGGAATCCCTGATCATTATTCTGAGTGTCAGAATGGAAATGAATTCTGGCAAAGGGACCTGTAGTCTGGAGTGGTGGGACAGAAAGAGTGGTGCAGAATTTCCCAATAATGGGGTCCATAGGCATGGGACCATCTCGGATCTAAAACAAAGGAATGTATCATTAAGCTCAGAGTGGCCAGATTTCAACAAACCAGGTCTTTGTTAACCGTAGAACAACACGTCATTTAAAAGTGAGTCGCTATCACATATTTATCTAACACCTTTGTTGGTATAAGGTTGGGGTTTAGTAAAGGATAGTCTCCTCCCATCATCCTTTATGCCTTATCTTCTTTCTGAATTTCAGTTCTGACACTGGATGTATACTTTGAATTTTTCTGGTGTTGTTTCTAATCTCAGTGTTTTCCAGGTTTTTCCCCCAATTGTTTGTTTTGAAATTATGAACTCCTAATAATCTAAAAGAAGCAGACATATACATGAATAAGGAATGCCAGAGACATCAATCAATTCACAACTTGGTCTAGGTATGCAAGAGGATAAGAAATGGAAAAAGAAGTGAAGTCAGATTCCTACTGCCGTTGAGTCAATTCCAACTCGTAGCAACCCAATCAGACAGAGTAGAACTGTCCCATAGGGTTTCCAAAGCCGTAATCTTTATGGAAGCAGACTGCAACATCTTTCTCCTGCAGAGCAGCTGGTGGGTTAGAACAGCCAGTCTTTCAGTGAGCAGGTGAGTGCTTAACCACTGTACCACCAGGGTTCCTTGAAGTCGGGTTAGATGCAACATAAAGTTGCTTAATGAATTTAAAAAGTGCAAATTTGATAGTAATTAAGGATTACAATAATGTTGATATGATCCTAGAAATCCTTTTAATTGTTGGCTTTTCATCTATTATATAACCATGTTAACCTCTCTCTAATTCTTTTGTAATTGCAAATTTTGTATCATTTGGAATACCAAGGAGTCAATGAACTAAACAATATTCCAAGCCAATTTTGTCTACCTAAATTACTTTTTCTACTGATAGCAATAATGGCAGCATTACTTTAATCCTATACTTAACTAGTTCCTGGAAATAATGTAGCTTGAAAAATGAGAAACATATTTCAATGTTTCTCTGCATTTCCATGTCAGAGGAATTATACATGTATCCTGGAATTAATATGTGGGAATGAATGAATGCCTTTCATTTTTACTTGAAGGACTTTGTTGAAAATTCATTTCAAGAAAATTCACTTTAATATTAACATTTAAAAGATTATTTGGCTGAATTTTTTCAGGAAAATGTAGATTTTCCAGTCATTCCAAAGGTTTCAAATCTATTGTTACAACCGCTTAATTACCAATGACTTTAACTTGTGGAGATCCGTGTTTGACAGCCTCACCCTTCCATCCTTTATAAATAATTCCATAGCACTCCATTCTTCTCTAATGGACTTCGAAAAGCCTATTATGTTTTTATGACTCCTTGAAAGCGGTACTGAGAGCGATGATGGTGGCAAAGAATACAGAACAACATAGGAACTCAATCTTCGCAATGATATTTTCAGGCTACAAATGGAAAGCAACATTTTTGATGCACCTATATAAGAAGGAGCCCTGGTGGGGCAGTGGTTAAAGCACTCAGCTGCTAACCAAAAGGTCAGCTGTTTGAAACCAAAAGCCGCTCTGCGGGAGAAATATGTGATAGTCTGCGTCCATAAAGATTACAGCCTTGGAAACCCTATGGGGCAGTTCTACTCTGTCCTATAGAGTCTCTATGAGTCGAAATCGACTTGACGGCAGGGGTTTGGTTTTTGTTATATAAAAAGATGGCATTTGAATATAATAGCCTTTTATCCTCTCCAAGTTTTAATCATTTACTAAGAATAGGCAGGAAGGGCACAGGTTTACTTCTCTCTTCCCAATGAGAATTATCAATATGTTTCAGCAGGACTCACCATTTATCAACCCATTTCACCGCATTCACTGTTATTTTCATCATGGAACACTATGGTCAACTTGCGCAACACAGTGTCAGGGTACCATAGACAACTGAATATTTGAGTCTGCACTGGAGAAGATGACCATTACTTTGTGTCTATTTCATTAATTCTGTGATTCCCATGTTAGGGGACTAGGCTTCCAGAAAGTAACCATGGGAGATAAGAAAGTCTGCTTCCCAGATTCAAAAGGAGTCCAGAAGAAGAAGCAATTAAGAATAGGGACTTAGCAAGACTTAGACAACGGCTGTGGACAGATGGTTAACTAGTGCTAACAAAAATTAAAAATAGATTTAGCTAACTCTTGCTAATAAATTGTGATCATCCTTGGGCATCACCAAACCATAGTCCTCTGATCGTTACATGTTCTATCTAAATGCAATTGCTTACCTCAAGATAATCTTTGCTGCAATTATTATGGTGTTCCAGGCTTAAGGTCCCAAAAGTAAATGTTATCAGGAGGTCAGGACTGCTCTCAACTCTCCAGACACAATCTCTTCCGGAAGGATACTTTCCAGGATATCCCGGAGACGTAATGGAACCATAAGCACCAGTCAGCACACCTCCACACTCTAAAATAGAAAGGAAAAATGTCTTCACATTTTCATACAAGGTAAAATTCATGTAGAATTATTGTAACCCTTGCTGTCAGAAGCTGAGTTTCATTTAAATAACTATAAGTTTGGACACCCTCATTAACTAAATAAAACTTGCAATTTTCTAGTTTTATAAAATCATAAACCTAGAAGTGCCAATAGATACATAAA